GAACTTGCAGCGAGGAGACTGATGCTTTTCAAGCGCAGCACCACTCCAGGACTGTGTAGTGAATTGTGAATTTAGATGAAGGGAAGCAATGCTGCATGAAGAGGACTGTTTTCTTTCATTCTATATGTTTAGTTGTAACAAAAGGATGCCTGTCTTACTAAACACATGCTCTTAGCTTCCAGTGGCGTTCCTCTCCAGAACCCTGGCTATGGCTATACACCTTTTCCTGGAGGATATGCACCCACCCCACCTGCTCCTGAGGGCTATGCAGCTCCTCCACCACCAAACGGACCATATCCTTATGCACCACCTCCGATGAATGGCTATGGACCTGCTCCACAGCCCATGGGATATCCATATGCCCAGACTCCAGGTTTGGAAGTTGTGTGATGATGACTGGCAGGGTGTGTTTGGTGTTAGCTGTAAAGAAATCACAGTGGTATGGTGGGGGTTACTGTCCCTCTATTTGCAGCTGGATGAGAGGTGAAAGTGTTGTTTGTAAATGGTGCTGCTGCTTGGCAGAGAATTGTTGCCTGCTGGCATGTCAGATCCCTGCTGTCTGCACCCCTGCCAAGCCTCCAGAGCTTCCTTCACCACTGCTCTTGTCCAGAACCAGTGTGCTGCTAGGCCTGTGATGTCTCTTCCACCTTGTCCCATTGCCATGGTTCAAAGCATCAGTCCAGTTTCATCTTTTTCAGGTATTTACCCACCACTTCCCAACATGAGCCCCATGTTTGTGCCACCTCCTCTACCCCCCTACTCTGGGCCATCTCCTGCAGGACCCGCAGCATCAATGGGCCCAGGGATGCCAGGTAAGTGAGACATGGGGGCTGCCAGGGTCTGGGTGCACAAGGGTGCTTAGGGCTTGAGCTGTGGGCACAGCATGGGGTGCAGAAGCTGTTGTTTCAGGGGCTCAGAGTTGTCTTCATCAGTTATTTGAGGTAGCAGAGGGAGGGGTGGAACTGTTCAGCTCTGCATTGCACTGCTTGCGGTCAGCTCTTGCCAGCATGCAGCTTTCCCAAAGCTCTGAATTCTGACCCAGCTTGCTGCAGTTGCTGTTGCCTCTTTGGAGCTTTGCTGCCTCCTTGAAAGAGCTGTGGCTGTGGGAGAAGGCTCTGGGACTTGGGCCACTGCCTAAGGCATGTAAGATAGCTTTTTTCTTTCCTTTCTAGGGGACAGTAGGGCCATGGAAGCCACTTCCAGTGCGTATTACAACTCTGCCAACCCACACAATGTATACATGCCTGTGGTAAGTGCTGTGCTTGTGGTCTGCCTATGTCTCCTTATTCTTTGCTAGCAGAGACAGTGGTTTGCTTTCCCAGTGCATTTTCCTGGGAGCATGGTGTGGCTGTTTGTCCCATGTTAAATCCTCAGTCAGGAAAGAAGCAGCACCTTAAGACTTGTCCAGTAATAGCCATTTGGTATTTGTGTTGCTCTTAAAGGCATAACAAATTTGCATGGGCACAGAACACACAGAGTACTCTGCTTCTGATGGGCCTGAAAGAGTTAAAGAGCAACAGGTCACTTAAGGAGGAGAGCATGTGGGTTTCTCTCGTTTTCTTCTGGGCTGTATGGAGATAGGGATGTCTCTCACTGTTCAGTCAGTGGCAGGTGGTAGGTAGGCTGTAGCTTACACAGTGGTATGTGACAGCTGATCTGCCTGTGCCCTTCACTGCCTTGTGTGGCTCTGTGGTGGCCTGGAGACCGATGGAGCAGCAAAGCTGGCCCTCAGCTCGGGGGTTTGGTCTCTGCTGGGTCAGAGCTGTGACCATCAACAGAGCCCTGGGAGTGTGGTGATAAAACAGACTAAATGCAATCTTAAACGTGGTCTGTTTGCAATAGTCCGTTTGTTGGCTGGGTTTGAGGGGACCTTCACTAGAAACATTGTGGGAGGCAGCATATATCCTGGAGTGTGCTGATACTAGAGAGGAATGGTGTGATGAAATGACAGCTTAAACCACAGCTCCTGGCTCACTCTGTAGCTCACTGGAGTGCAGTCGTTCCTTGTAAGCCAAGCCTGAGAATGCCTGGGAAGAGCTTGTCGTGAAACAAGCAGGGTTGTTGATTCCACTCTGTCTCCTTCCAGGACCAGCCACCTCCTTATACACCTCCTGAGGATAAGAAGAACAACTAACAGCAGGAAATGGCAACCAGCCTCCCACACTCTCTGTCTCTGAAGACAACTTGGCTGTCCCTACCCCCTGGGTTAGCGTATCTCTAGGTCTCTGTGTATATACAGTATATGTCATGATGGGCAGCTGAGCACCTGCCCTTAAGCACTCAGTCAGTGACAATGCAAGGTGGAACAATAGCACTTCCCTTCTTACTTGTTTTATCTCATGGGGTCGAAGCACTAACCTTTTGCTCTGCCATTGGCTTGAGAGAGATGGACTTCATATTAAACTACCACTATACCACACCACTAATCTAGGACTAAAATATAAAGGTTCTGGGATCTTGGAGTAAAACTATTTGGAATACCAAACTTTTTACTTCTTCTGAAGCACCATCCGAGACAAAAGGCATAGAGAGCCATGAGGTTTCTTGCATAGACCCTTGGGTGCCCCAGAAAGGTGTTAGGTTTCCTGAAAATCTGGCACAGTTCAGCGCGAGATGGGACTCTGGACATTCTGTATTGTGCTGGAAGCGTGTTTCATGTCCTGGACTAACAGACATGGGGTGACAAACCTGGGAGGTGCATCCAGAGAGACACTGAAGCATTTGACTATGCAAGAGGTAAGGGGGTGGGCCCCGCTCAGCCTGTCCTTGTGGACACTGAACAGAAAAGCAGACAAAGGCATGCTGCAGGGCAGTGAGCTGACAGACTGGAGGTGTGGAGCAGTCATCCTTCCCCTCTCCTAGAAGCAGGTCCCGTGTCTGTGCAGTGATCCTGTGCCGCGTAATGGAGGAGACAAGTGCTGCATAGGAGGCTACTTGCCTTGGAGCAAAATCTGTTACATTAGGAAGATGATCTGGCACTAGCCTTGTCAGGAGATGGGTCCCACAGCTCCCTGTGCTGAGCAACCTCGTGCTGTCTGCTGGCTCCACATGGGGAAGTGGGCCTTGTCTGTTCCTTCAGCCACCACATCCAAGCGCTGCAGTACTGGAGTTGGGATGCTTGGGGGGTGCATTGCCCTCTCTCTGGTGGGAACTGCTGCCTGGTGAGGGTGCTCCTGATGCTCAGCTCTCTTGCAGGGACTGGCTGCTCAACTACAACCTTTCCTTCTTCCCTAGGACATAATGCCATTAAACGTGCTCTGAAGAGAGTCCTCCTAGTCTGGTGGAGACACTTGTGATCCTTTACATAGGGAGTGATCATGCTTCTTCCTACAGCCTTCCTACCTTCATAGTGAAGGGGAAGGAGTGTTTTCCTTCTTACTTCCCTGTGTGCCAGGGCTCTCCTGTAAATCAGGCTTGTATGACTTGCAAGTGGAAATTCCTAAAGCAGCCCTGCACAGGGGGAAGGAAATTTCCTTATCTATAAGTACCTTTTAGGTCTGAGTTAGAGATATTCTAATAACTGTATTTAAGAAGAAGAAAAAATCAATTATGAATGTTTGTAACCTTTTGCATTGCACTTTAATACAGGAGTGTTGATACCTTTAGCTGCGTGGTGACTGTTGTGTGTGTTGTGTTGACCTTCGTTCTTGCCTTCTCTCCCCCTGGTGTGTGGCTAAGCTGGATCTGGAACCAGTTAACGGGGGGGGGGGGAAGTGGGGCTCATCCTATTGCTGCCTGGGGAGGGTGGAAAGCTGGTTTGTGCCTTTGCTCTCTCCTGAATCGCCAGAACTGGCCTGTGTTCATGGCCTGGGGGCAGGGACAACACCCTGCTGTTCACTGCAGCTGTATTTGTAGCACTTCTGCTATGTGCATTCCGTGCCAGAGGGAAGGTCTCTCTTTTACCAGGAACTCCTCGCTAGCCGGTTTTTTCCAGTGAGGCAAAAATACATACATGGTAAAGGAAAATGGCAGGTACCTGTGGACTGTGAAATCTCTTTCCCTTTGTACCAAGGAAAGCTGTTCCCCTGCTGAACACGAGGTAACCATTGGAACACCATTTCCTACTCTCCATTATGTCCATCTGTCCAGCCCTTGTCTCTGACAGGAAACCAGTTCTCTTTCACAGCACCAGTGCTCCTGTTTGGAGGTCATGACCCTGCATTAACCAAGCAGCCATAGCCAGCAACATAAATAAACATGAAACGAGAGAGCCTGGGGCCCACCTGCCCTTTTATTTCCATTGATTTGTCTCAATCACTCCCCAAGACCCAAGCCAACTCCTGTACACAGACATGAAGTGTGCTCATCCTTTCTCATCGGCATCGCAAGCATCACCTCCAGTATCTTGCCACTACACTCAGAGAACATTCCTGGAACTGGCCAGAATCAGCCATTTGGTCCTGCAGGAAGCAGAGTTGGGGATGACCAGGAGCCCTCCAGCATCTGAACAGAAAGGGGAAACTTGGTTTTGCTGATGTAAAATGTGGTGTTTGCCCAGTCTGAGGCTTCATCTTATGCCTGTCTCCCTGGGCTGCAGTCTTCATGAATGCTGCAGTCATGAAGTCTGGGGCAGTCAGGGTAGGCCATGTCTCAACTCAAACTCCTCCACAGGATGTGCGCTGTAGAAAGGGGAAGCAGTTGAGGGCTTTAGACTCTATCCCACTGCTCACTTGCAGTTATTCGTGTAGGCTCCTTCTCAGAATGGAGCTGTGGATGTAGCTGCCCTTGGGAGGAGCCTTTCCCTGAGAAACCCTGAGTGTCCAGCCTGCTGCAGGAGGCCCTGAGCCCCCTTTTAGCAGGAATTTCCTGCCAGATCAAGAACAGGATGCAGCTTCACTTTGGAGACATATGTGGCTGTCTCCCAGCTCAGAAGACACCATCAGCTCGAGTGTCAGCATCTTCCCTGCACTGCTTGCGCACAACACCCTGTAGCTCCTGGGGCTGTACCACAGCAAGGCTGTTGGGGTTGTGCATGGTCAGTAGAGGTTTTTGCTCTGCTGTACACTGATTCCAGAGGAGCTTTAATACAATGCTAGCATGCATGCTAGGCTGCAGTAGTGCTGGCCTCCAGGCTGCTGGAGGCCTGCAAAGACTCTGCACAGGACCATCATGTCTCCAGGAGCTCTTGGTCCTGGGATGGGTACACAGGAAGGGTGCAGCCCTATTGACAGCCCCTTATTCTAAGCCAAGCTGATTACAGCAAAGAAAAGAAGGTAACCAGGTCTGATCCTTGAAGCTATTGCCATCCATCACACATGGAGGGAGGGGAGTCACTACCCTAGAAGATACAAAAGCATCCAAAGCCTTTCTACAGGTTTAGTTCAAACAGCCCCGCGACAGTCAGTGGTACCCAGCCTGAAGCAGAGAAACGCTCAGGTGTCAGAGCTGATGAACTAAACCAGCAGCAGGGCTCTGCTTGTATGGAATCTTCCACAGGAGGACCTCAGAAGGCTTTGCCATCACTGAGGAACTACGCTCTGCACACCCTTAGGAGGTGGCAACAAGAATTCCTGCTTCACGCAGACTGAGCAGACATCATCAAGCTGGTACCAGAGGAAGTCACCCCCAGCACTGCTGGGCACACCACCAAAAGGCACTTGTGCAGGGCAGAGCCACATGCCCCAGACAGGGTCTCACAGCCCACTGCGGCACGGACCCACACCCCCATCTGCTGAGCCCCATCACAGGAGGACCGGGCGGAAACCCTCACGGGGGGCTTGCTGTCTGACAATGTGCCAGGGCTGTGCCACAGGGTACAGGTACCACATCACCACCCCCGAGGGGTTAACAGTGACCGAGAAGTTGTCCCCCGTCTTCAAGCCTCTGGTGATCTCCCCGCTGTACACGTCTTGTACCTGGAAGAGAGAGATGGTGGCTACCAGGATTTGCACACACCTTTCATCTTGAGGGCCAGCCGTGGGCACTGACATGGCATGGCAGGACAGGGCACACCAGTGGGCAACAGGAGGGTGACCCAATGTGTGGCTGCCCCTTCATGCTGAAGGCAGAGAGTGAGAGCCCTTCCCTCTCAAAGAACACACAGGGTGGCAAAGGAGGGAGCTGGCAAGAGAGGGATCCAGGTGCTGTGGGGTATGGGGCTCACCTCATACACAGCATCCTCAGGGAAATGGAGCTTGGCCAGGCTGGTGGTGTAGACGTAGGGTATGTCTGTCCTCCGGCTGAAGAAGACAAGGGCACTGGCACCCCGGGACAGTGGGCGCAGGAACACCTCGATGAGGGACTTCTCCTGAGGGTGGGGATGAGCGGGTGAGGCAGAGCTCCTGGGATCAGCACCGGCCCACAGACCTTGTCCTGCAGGGTTGCTACACCAGCAGATCCCCAGCTCCTACAGCTCTCCTGCTCATGTTTCTCTGCGCCACTTCCCTCTCCGTCCTTACTGTGACACCCTGTGCTGCTCCTGTCAGCTCTCCCAAACACATCCACCTTCCTCCTAACCTTAACAATCCTGCGCCCTTGGATTCCCAGGGGATCCTGGTTGATCTGGATCATCAGGCGGTTCTGCAGGATCTCCCTGGCGCTCGGGGAGATGGTGCGGAGATCCGTGGACATGAGGAGCGGAGCTGCCATCACTGTCCACAGGGCCATTTGGGAGCGTGACTGCTCGTAGCTGAGGCCAAAGTTTCCAATGACGAGCTGGAGGGGAGAGGCAGAAAAGGGTTAGAAACTTGTCTGCTTGTCACCCTCAGTGATGCTGCAGCCTGCTGGGACTGAGCACGCAACAGAAACCTCTGCACATTCTTGCTTCCCCTCTAGAAGCCTACCACTGCTGGGAGAGCTCACCCCTGCTAGGTGCTGAGCCTTCAACACACATTCAAATGCACTAACACCCTTCTCTTCACCATTACCCCCAAGGGCAACACGAGCTTTCCCTCTCTGCAGCAATAGGGCTCCTGCCCCTGGCACTCCTCTTTTGCCCTGCCCCTACAAGGGGATCACTGGAGGTCCCCCATCCACAGCACCCATCACCCATCCGCACCATGTCTGGGTCATTCCAGTGGCCAGGGCCAGCTGCTGGCTGCAGCACGTCCTGATTTGCGAAGAACCAGTCCAGGATGGAAAGCACACTGTCCCAGGAGTCCTGGATGTCGTCGTAGTTACGCCACAGGTTGCAGACCTCTGCCAGGATGGTGTAGTTCACCTGGAGAGGAGCACAGCGTCAGGCAGGAGGGAGAAAGGACCCAGTCTGCAAGGTGGGGGAGAAGGGCAGCGTCCAGGAGAGGTGTGAAAGGCAGAGGGATCTGGAGAAGGGCAACATCACATAGTGAAGGGGGACAGAGTCATACCCCAGTAGGACTGGGCACATCCCGCTATAATAAGATGTCTGGCAAAACAACCACAAAGGCCATGTGGAAATATGACCAGCTGCAAGAATGAGGGAAGCTCAGGATTCACTCAGAAGATATAAGAGGAAATAACCACACACACTCAGTTCTCAAGAAACGTTACTAGGAAGAACATCCTCTTTCATACATTTAAAGAAGACAAGACCCATATCAGAAGACTGTCAGGATCAACCAGGCGAGTGGGGTGGAGAGAGCATGCCCCAGGGCCTTCTTTCCCCAGACTCCCACCACTGAGCATGCAGGGAACCCCAAGTGTCCCGGATGCCTGGCTGGGAGGCCATGTCCTCTCCAGCGACCTGCTGCAATCCTACCAGTGACAGTGATAAGCAGGGTTTAGTGCCCGGCTCCTGCAGCTCCAACAGGAGCTTCCCTGAGGGCACAGGGGACACCGGGAAACAGCCACTGGATGGAACAACCCTCACCTTGGGGGGGAGCCCCCCCTGATAGGCCGGCCAGCTGCAGGAGTAGACAATGGGGTGGCCCGTGGCGTTCAAGGCCCTCGCCATTTCTGGGTAGCCTTAAGGAGAGAAGATGACAAGCGGTGAAGGGGAGAGCTAGCAGCAGCTCGTCTCCCAGCCCGCCTGGCCTCCTGCCTCACACCAGCTCCAGGGCATCCCAACTCCCTCCTCTTTGCCCATGAGCCGCAACAGAAGACGTGAGGGAAGAACCGGCTGTTCCAGCGTGGCTGCGGAGAGCCAGGTGCCCTGACCAGAGCAGCAAGGGGAGGAGTGCCAGTTGGACGGGGAGCTTTTACCCTCTGCCTGCTCCTCTCCTGACGAGTAGCACCCGTCCAGCTTCAGCATGTCCACACCCCACTCCGCGAAGGTCTGGGCGTCCTGCTCCACGCGGTCCAGTGTGGTGCCCGGGTAGCCCCCGCACGTGAGTGTGCCCAGGTCGCCGTAAATGCCCAGCTTCAGGCCCCGGGCATGGACCTGCGGGGAGAGGAGAGCTGCAAGGAGGGCACGAGGGGGATCCCATGTGTCCCCCAGGGTCTTCCATCCACTCCCAGCTCCTGCCATGGCAGCACGGGGATGCAGGGATGCCCACCACACACTCACGTAATCAGCCAGAGCTTTAATCCCCCTGGGAAACCTCTCGGGGTCGGGCACCAGGCGTCCTGCTGCATCCCGCTTCTTGGCAGACCAGCAGTCGTCAATGTTGATGTACTTGTAGCCCAGCTCCCTCCAGCCATCCTCGGCCAGGCGGTCGGCCATCTCGAAGAACAGGGTCTCGCTGCGGGTCGAGGGGATGGGGACACGGCAGGCTGAGACCCCACAACCCACCTCTTGTGCCCCACCACTTGAGGTGGACAGCAGGACATCGGGTGTGCAGGGGGCTCTTGAGGGTCGGTAGCTGCAGATCTCCAGGCCTCCCGTTTAGACCTCATCCATGCCCTGTTCACTGATCTCACGGAGGGGAGGCCCTTCCCCAGCACCCGACAAAGACCAGCCACGTCCCTCCGCACCGGGGACCCCCAGCACCGAGCTCCCCACCTCCCGCACCCCGTGCTTCCCGAGATCCCACCGCGCTGACAGAGCGGCCCCGGGCCCGACACCCGACCCGGCCACCCTCTTCTCTCCTTCCCCGGCACCACCCCGTGCACCGCCCCCCGGGGCAGACCCGAACAGGTTCCCTGGGGCAGAGGACACAGGGGACAAGTGCTGGGAGGGGATGGCCGAGCCCCGGGCTTCCCCGCGGCCCCGCTGACCTGATGCAGTTGCGAGGGTCGGCCCGGCAGTCCACATTGCAGCGGAACCTCTCCCAGGCCAGCCATCCCATGGGGGGGGTGAGCGCCAGACCGTTCTCCAGGGCTGCCGAGGGCAGTGCCAGGGACAAGGCCAGGGCCAAGGGCAGCCCGCTCAGCACCGCCGGCCCCATGGCTGCCGCCGGGACACAGACTACCTCGGTCCGCCCCGCCCCGGCCCCGCTCACATGACACCGCCCGCGTCACCTGACCTACCGAGCGCACCTCCCTCCCTCCCGCCCGGCCCGGCCCCGCTGTGCCCCGCAGTCGCCTCGCCCCGGGGGTACTGCCCCCTGCGCTGTGGCTCTCTGTCAGCATTGCGCCCAGTCGGTACCGCACCCCGCCGCTGTTGCACCCCACTGCTGGCACCGTGGCACGGCCGCACCCCGATAGTTACACTGGGAGGAGGGGAAAAGGTGTTTGACCCCCGAGTGGGACCGCAGGGGTGCCCGGAGGAGCGAGGAGGTGCGGGCGGTGCCGCTGCGGCCGGCGGGGCGGTGCTGCCGGCGCGGCCCTCCCCCGACCCGCCGAGGCCGGCCCCGGCTGTCGCGCACCGCCGGCAGCGCCGCTGAGCAGGAGCGGCCCGAGGTGAGCCGGGACGGGGCCCGCGGTCCCGCCGCCGGGGCAAGGAGCCAGGCGAGGGCCGGAGGGCGGCGGTGGGACGGGACGGGAGCGGGCGGCGGGGCTGGGCCGGGGCCGCGGCGCGCCGTGGGTAGGAGGCAAACACAGAGGCACACAAAGAGACAGAGCCCAGCACCGCACATACACACGCGGGATCCCCCGCGCTGCCGTGGGACAGGGCTGGAGATGGCTCCGGGGGCGGCGCTGAGGGCGAGGCCCCCCCGCAGGGAATGGGTTCGGTTCGCTTTCCAACGGGGGGCTGTCCCCAGCCGTGCCCCACGAGCCCTCATGGGGGAGAAGGGCTCCGGGAGGGATCCTGGAGGGTGCTCAGCAGTGGGGAGGTTCCCTCACCCGGATCTGGCCGGGGAGTGGCGGCTGTGGTTTGCTTTCTGCATAGTTGTGTGCGAACTTTTAGCCGTCGGACATCCATTTGCAGCTGTAGAATCACCGAGGCTGCACTCGGTGTGTCCTTCGGCAGCACCAGGCCGAGTCGCCTGCTTGGGGGTCTTCACAGAGCACAGCCTGTGCTCCTACAAAAACCAAACCAACCCCCCGGGAGCCAAAACATAACCCTCCAGGAACACTGGCATTGAAGACATTGAAGCTGTTCTGGTTTGTGACTCCCTTTCTTCCACTTTTCCTCCAGCCAGGAATGGGGCTCAGCACAGTGAAGCTTTGGAGGCCCTCACCAAGGGAGCAGCCTGCCCAGGGAAGACAGCAAGGGACTGTGGTCTGACCCGTGCAGCCGGTACGGCACCATGCACCTCACTGACAGGGAACCTCCTGGGGCTGGGGGTGCTGCTGCTGGGAGGGCTGCTGGGGACGGGTGGCCCTGCATGGAGACAGGGAGCAGGAAGCAGGTGCTCAAAAGGAGGTCCCAGACCCCTTGGGTCTGAAAATGCCCTCCTTATCCTGCCCTATTAATGAGAGCGACATTAATGTCTTGCAGGCACAAATTTCTTTGATGTGCCCCATAAAAAACTAGTAAAGTAGGTCACTCGTGGAACAGGAAATGAAGCACCAGTGGTCCCTCCTGGAGAAGGCAGGTGTCTTAGTGGTGGGTCTCTAGTGATAACTTCCCTCTCCTCTGCAGCAGCGAGGAGCCAGCCTGCCGTTTGCAAGGGTACTTGCTGGGGTAGACGCTGTCCTGTAGCATGGGCTGCTGGCATGGTGGCTGCTTTTCCCAGTGACAGGCCCGGGGCAGGATCATGTCTTTCCTGGCAGGGTGGCTAAGATGCTCCTCACCCTGAACCAATTTCTTCCCCCTCCCTTCCTCTTCTAGGCAGGGCGATGAAGCTGAATGAGCGGAGCGTGGCCCACTACGCTACCTGCGACTCACCCACTGACCATGCCGGCTTCCTCCGCAAGCGCGTGGAGCGGCACCACCACCATGCCCATCACCACCATGCCACCTCCTACCAGCGCCGCTGGTTTGTCCTCAAGGGCAACCTCCTTTTCTACTTCGAGGAGCGGGAGAGCCGGGAGCCCGTGGGGCTGGTCGTGCTGGAGGGCTGCACCGTGGAGCTGTGTGAGGCTGCCGAGGAGTTCGCCTTCGCCATCCGCTTTGATGATGCTGGTGCCAGGGCTTATGTGCTGGTGGCCGATGGGCAGGCTGCCATGGAGGCCTGGGTGAAGGCTCTGTCGCGGGCCAGCTTCGACTACATGCGGCTGGTGGTGAGGGAGCTGGAGAAACAACTGGAGGAGGCCTGCAAGAGCTTGGCTGCTTGCCGCCAGTCCCCACGGAGGTCCTCCTCCTCCAGCAGGAAGAGGCACCTTTCCAACCCTGCCTTGCTGCCTCTCCAGGAGAAGCCTGCCGTCCTGGAGAACGGTTACTCCACGTGGGGTAGTGGTGGTGCTGTCCCGGGGGGTACCACCTCCCCTGACCGTGATGGGGGGCAAGCGAAGCCCCCACCCCTGCCTCCACGCCGGCGCTCAGCTGCCGGCAGTGCTGCAGGGTCCCCAGCGCCCGGCCTCTCGCCAGGCATGACCGAGAGCCCGGTGTCCCCGGAGACAGCCTGTTTCTCCAAGCTGCACGGCTGGTACGGGCAGGAGATCGCAGTGCTGAGGCGGGAATGGCAGGAGAGGCAGAAGAGGGGTCACCCATGACCGGGGACACAGGGTGCGAGCTGCCAGCCAGCCAGTGCACAGCAAGCTGTCTCCCATGCGGCAAGAGGAAAACGAAGGGACACTGCTTGGCCCCTGCCCTGGTTGGTGGCTGAGTGTGCAGTGTGTGTGTGCTTCATGGGGCAGGTGGGAGGGACACGAATCTTCTGCAGACCTCACATTTCATTTCCCTGAAGCTTTATACAGCTGGAGAGTGTGTAATACCAGCGGAGCTGCCTTTGAATGCTCCTCTGCTGGTGGTACGAGGTGTGGAGGGGGCCCAAATCAGCACATACGCAACAAACCTCACCCAGTGGGCTTTGTCCCTTGCTGCCCTGGTGTGGTTGATGCTATGGGTGCTTCCTCTCCTGCCTTTGCTTCACACTATTGTTTGGTTTTATTTCTCAGCATGGGAGTTTGCACAGGTCAGCATTTATTATTGTCTGTCGTCTTCCGCCAAACTTCTGCCTTTGCTCTTTCATGGCAGATAAGGCTGGGCTCTTATGAAATGCCTCCAAAGGGGCACTGGCCCTAGTGGATGCTTCCAGCCTTGTGCCTCTCCCCACAGGACACTGTGAGATGCTGCGGCTGTGGCTGGCCCAGCAGCTGCAGCAGTGAGGACTGGGCTCTTGTGTCATGCTGGTCTTTTTTTTACCTTCATATGTACTAACCCTTCTCCCTGCTAAATCCTTCAGGATGTGGATTTCATGGGCTTGCATCTGTCTTTTTGGGTGCCCGAGATCAGCAGCAAGGCTGAAATGGAGACACCGAGCCTGGTCCAAAGGAACAGCAAGGACCAGAAGCTCCCAGGGCTGATGTGGACTCTGTTGAGTGGTAGCCAAGCCTGTTAATATCTCTATCACAAGCCTTCCTTGTTCTAAAACAGGGAGGCTAAAGCCTCTTTGCCTGGGCAGGGATGAATTTCTCTGCTCCTGCTAAGTGCCATGTAGGGCTCATCCGGCTCACTGGGCAGCGTGCCCCAGGCACTGCCCACAGCCACATTCTTGCAGGGCCTCTTGCGCTGTTGTGGCTCCTCCCAGCTCTGGGCAGAGCTGTTCAGTTGGAGGAGTGGGGAGGAGGAGAGGGCTGCTCCCACAGGTGGGGGTGTGGGAGTGATTTACAGGTAGCATTGACTGCGTGTCAGCAGTGTCTGGGCTTGCCTCTCCAGTGTGAAAGCTGTATCACTGCCTTCTACCAAAGCCAGCACCCAACCTGCCAGTGCTCCCCTCTGATTTCATATCAGCATCACTCAGCTGATATCCGTAGCATGTCCCATCCTCCCAGAATGTGAGGAGTGCAGCAGGGAGGCATGCCTGTCACCTTGCTGCAGAAACACTTGCCCTTCAGTAGGTCAGAATCCTTGGCCATGAAGCAGATGGTATAAGTAGGTAGGTGCTGTGTCCAGGGGCTCTAACACCCTGGAGACGGGGTTTATAAATCCCCTCCCTGGCAAGGGCTGTTTCTCAGAACAGAAAAAAATATACAAAACAATCTTGTGCTTCTTATCTACCAGTGTTAAACCTGGTTTTATTGCTCTGTTTTATTAAGGAGCCTTGCTAGGAAACCAAGAGGCTGTTTCAGGTCATGATGGGTAGGAACCTATTTGTTTTTCCAGAGTTATATGCACTCAGCTTAATACTTTGCAATAGCCAGTAGAGAGTGCCAATGCAGAAATCAAAAGACTTCCATTAACTCTTGGTGCCTTTGACAACATACCTCTGATAGTTTTGGATGATGAGCTTCCAGCCTCCTGCCTTATTGTAGCTCAGTGGTATATTGGAGGAGATAAATCTTTAATCAGATCTTTCAGATGCAATTCCGGGCAGCGGGTGTGTTACCTTCACATGCGAGTGATGCAATCCAGTCCTCTCCAGTTTGTGCCTGGTTTTTTTCACAGTAAGGATGTTTGAGTTCGGGAGGATTCTTTTTATTCTGCTTTTTAAGCAAGAACAGTTCAGTAAAACTGGGAGCAGATGACCACAGGCCAGTGCCCAGGCTCTTTCCGCAGCCCAACTGGCTGGACTTAGGGGCCAGCTCTACACGCTCTCCTGCCTGCTGCTTGAATCATTCAGTGCTGCAGCATTTCCAGCTGGGAACCTGTACCCCTCCCCATGTTGTGGCAGCAGCATCAAGGGATGGCGCTGCTTGGTGCCTCCTCACTCTCAGTGTGGGTATTTTGGGACCAGCATCGGATTTAGCAAGCACTTTTCAGTGGTTATTTTTTCTCTGCCATGTAATACAGAGGGAAGAATATTCCTGATGCCTCAGACTTACATAAGGCAGTTTGACGGTAAAGATTTAACTTCCAAAATAAATCAAAATGTGATGGCAGCTCCTACATGAGACCCAAGAATCATGAGCGCTTTGAAAGGGAAAATAAATTAACAAAGCCAGTTCTGTCAAAACTGGAGCTGAAACTGTATTATTCATTTAAGGGCAGTTTCACTTTTAAGAAGCTTAGTTTGTTTTAATAAGCCAGGATTGTGCTAGTAACACTACTAAAGAGCTTATATTTAATGCTTTAATCTGTCCCATTCAAATGGCGCAATTTGCACGCTACCTGCCTTTACGTTAGCACATATCCCAGCTAAATCCTCAATCCGGCAAATGAGGCGCTGCTCTCTGCCTTCCGTCTGATCGCATTTGGAGTAATTCTGTGGCTCATTCTGCAGCGCCGAGAAGGAAATGGCTGAATCCCAGTCGGTATTTGTCCTCAGCCGAGCTGTCCATGCCCGGGTCTTTGCTAGGTTATCAAAGTGCTGCATGACTTTGAATGAGCTTGATCAGGGCTTCCTCATCATCCTGCTCATGTAGAGGATGGCCCTTTTGTGAGTAAAGAGAGCTGTAATTAGAGTCCTGCTCAAATCTGTTTGGGAGCACTGCGTTTTTAATGACCGCTGCCACTTGCTTCATTAGGCAGGAAGCACCTGTGTGCTCCGCCACCTCCTCTGAGATGGAGCTATCAAACCAGCTCTGCTGAGACTCGCTTGTGCTAGCAGCACCTTTGAAGCAGCCCCTGGGCAGAAGGTCAGGATTTCAGCTTCCTGAGATCGCATGTGTCTGGCTAATGGGGTATCTGTCAGCCTGCAGGCACAGATCATTATGGGAAAAGCAGAGAATTTTCATTGCACATTTTCCCCAACAGTAGAATAAGACTGATTGCCACACACAGTTTTCCTCCAGTCATTCAGGTTTGGACTGTTTCACCTGCCTTTGCTTTCCCTTATTTTTTAAAGCTAGAAAACATCTGGGCAGCATAGGACAGGTTCCCTTGCAAAAGGGGAGCTCAACACTAAAGCGGGATGGCTACTGAAGTCAAATCATTTTCAAAGAGTTTTCTTTAGCATAATAACACAAAAGCAATGGGACAAAAATGCTTGAAATTAAAAGAGCCTGAAGTCTGAAAGGAGGGCAGTTCTGCCATGGCCTGTGTAAGCCGTGCCAAGAAGGGCTCCCAATCCTGCTAATATAGTTGGCGGAATCTCTGTATTTTTCTGATGCTGGAATTTCACATTAAGACTATTCTTTTATTTCCGAACATTTATCTTTATATAAAACAACATTTCTCCATCGAATCTAGGTCCTAGCAGGTTACTGTAGGAAGAGTAACCAGTTAGTTTTACCCATGGACATTCATGACCAAGACCGGGTGTTTTCCATTACAACAGCTACCAAATTAATAGTTTGGAGGTGGTATCCCCCCCATCTTACCCCTCTCAACTGCCTTTGCAAAGAAGCCTCAATACCCTGCTGAAGCTCACAGGGAATGCATGGAGCTCCTGTGTCAGGGGCACCTTTCTGCAGCACCGAGCAGTTACCAGGCAACACTACGAGCAACCTGCAGAAACAGTCTCACCTCTTTGAAGTGCTTATATTTTATGTACACATGTATCTTTTCTAAGAGGCGGATTTGCATGCGCCTTTGTTTTACATGCAGAAACTGTATTTTGCATTTCAAGACGTTTGTATTTTATGCCGTGAAGCCAAATAAACCGTTTTGATTTGTAGCCTGTGCGCTGTCAATGGAGGTGTGAACGCCCAGCGTCGGCAGAACCTGCCCGCTTGCAGGGTCACCGGGCCCAGTTCTCCTCCGTCGAGCCTTTGCGGGCCCTTCATTGGAGCCCCTACAAGGCTGTCCCCCTCCGTCCACACCAGTCGCACCGACAACAGCCATCCCCTCCCGCCTCACTGGGCGCCGGGTGACGCACGGCCCCACTTCACGCATGCGCAGTGCGACCCCGCCCCTCCCCTTAAGCCTCGCGAGAATAGGAGGCCCCCCCAGCCCCGGGTGACGCCTTGGCTCGGCGGTTACGGGAGCCCAGCCCGAGGGAGGATGGCCACAGCGGGCGGGCGGCTGCTGGTGGCGGCTGCGGCTCACTCGGGACGGGTATGCCGGGCCGGGCAGCGGCTCACACCGGCCGTGCCGCTTGTGCCCTCCCGGAGCGCCACCGTTACTCGCAGCGGCGCCATTTTGCCCAAGCCGGTTAAGGTGAGTGAGGGGCGAGCGGGTGGGGGCGCAGCCAATCGCGGCGTGACGGATGGCAGCAGTGGCCAATCAGAGCGGGAGCACCTGCTGTGGGTGGGGCGCTGGGGGTGAGTGACAGGGAGCAGGCTGAGGAGGGCAGCGGCTGGGGCGGGGCGCGGAGGCGGAAGCGGTCGCTAGCGGGGGGTGACGGGGAGGTCCTTGAGGGGCAGGGGCGGCCGTGGGTCCCGGCGCCGGCCGGGAAGAGATGGGGGCCCGCAGGAGGGGCGGCAGGCTGTGCTCCCCGGCGGTGCGGGGGCACAGCACAACTTACTGGTAAAGCTCGATCTTTTCCAATCGACCCCTCGCAGACGCCCTTCGGTCTCCTCAGAGTGTTCAGTGTCGTGATCCCCTTCCTGTATGTTGGCACTCAGATCAGTAAGAACTTCGCAGCCCTGCTTGAAGAACATGATATCTTTGTCCCAGAGGATGATGACGACGATGATTAACGGGTATATTGTTAACATCACCAGCGATCTGATTATTTATGCTTCCTGTTTGGTGTGGGACAGGGAGGAGAAACCTCCTACAGACAGCCATAGCTTAAAAGATGCATTTGCAGTTAGACAGACAGTGTTGCCTCTGGCTACTAACTTTCCTGTTCTTTTATACCAGAGTAGGCCAGACTAATATCTGAACATGAAATCACAACGTACATTCATTAGAGACTGTAATAAATTGACTGTGGTTTAGCTCTTGTCATTTGAATCAGAATAAACTGTAGTCAGTGTTTACTGCAGACAGAAAAAAGGGACTTCAGTATTATTACATGTCCAGAGAAGAGCAGTGAAGCTGGTGAAAGGTCTTGAGCACAAGTCTGATGAGGAAGGGCTGAAAGCACTGCAGGGGATTTAGTCTGAAGAAGAGAAGGCTCAGAGAAGATAAGGGGGACCTTATCACTTTCTTACAAGTACCTGAAAGGAGGTTGTAGGGAGGTCAGCACTGGTCTCTTAACAAGGAATAGGCCTAGAGGAAACGGTCTCAAGTTGCACAAAGAGAGGCTTAGACTGGATATTGGGATTTTTTCCCCAAGGGCTTGTCAAGCTTTGGAACAGGCTGCCCAGGGAAGTGGTTGAATTGCCATCCCTGAAGGTAGTCAGAAGACATGTAAATGTGGTGCTTAGTGACATGGCTTAGTGGTGGACTTGGCAGTCCTGGGGTAAAGCTTGTATTCAACAGTCTTAAGGATCTTTTACAACCTAAACGATTCTCTAATACTATTCTGCATGTTTACCCGTTTAAAAGTCTTCTGCTAACTCACAGGGTTACTATTTTAAAGTTAAGAGAATCACTTGCTGTCTGAAATTTTGATAAAGAACTGAACAATTTAAAAGCATTCCAGAATCCATTGGAACAAAGTGTCTGGAGTAGGTGGGACCACTCCGATTCATTGGATAAAGGAAGAGCAGAAATTACTCACTTTCACCTGCAGTGCATTACACTTTCCACCATTTTATGTTATTTCATTTGGCTTGCCCTTGTGTAAAGATTTGAGTTTGGGTGTATTTGATTCTTCATAGAATGAAGAAGCTGTTTCAAAGAAGGTGTTGTAAATAGTGTTGTTTTATAACTGGTTTGGTGCATTCCATTTGATAAAGGGATTTTCCAGCACGCACCACACAGCTAAAACCAAAGAGTTAAAATGTTGTAAAGACTGCAATGACCTGTTAGAAACTCCTTCTATGTAAACCCTATTCATGTGGTTCAGGGGGAGGGAGAGGTTCACTAGCGCTCAGTACCACATATCTGAAGAGTAATGGCTTCTTATTACATTTGCAGAAGTGTCACGGAAGAACAGAAGGGAGAAAGCCATTGGCAAAGCAATGGTTCCAGCATCTGTCACCTGTGTTTTGTCCTTCCTAAACGGGACGGGGGCTCTATATCCCCTTTGCCAGTGAGTGTCCTGCACATCTGTATGATGCAGGCTGAAGGAAGTGCTTGATAGGCCCTGCACCCTCACACACACACATGCTCACCTCAGCAGAGACTGCTTGGGATTCCTTGTATTAGCAGCATGGAAACACTTAATTAAAGATCAAGAGATTAAGATGTATAACTTTGTTTTGTGTTTGGTCTTAAGCATTTCTGTCTCAACTTTTCTACCTCTACATCTGCTCCACTACAGATGCTTTCTGCATATTTATTTCTTCCTAAGAATACTTTCCATAACTCAGCACTAATCTACAGTATGTGACAGATATTCTAAAGGAAGAAGCAGCAGCCCCATTAAAAGAATGGGAGTGCATACTGACACTGGCACTGCAGTTCAAATAATGCTGGTTTACAGCCTAGCACATCTGTCTGATGGGGACTGTATCATTTTCACCTCACTGATACAATATTATCACAGAGTTAAAAGTTTTGGGTAGGTTTGGTGAAAGGTTAAGATCACGAGTGGCAAACTAACTCACTGATGTCTTACAGCATTTAATCTCTGAACAGTGAGAATCTCTGAACACTGACTCCAAGTTCCTAGTATTTCCTTGGCAGCTCACTACTTACTTCTGTATGAGGCCCATTATATTTATTTTCTGAACTGGCTATAAACTTCAACTCTTCATAATTACTACTCTAATTAAATCCTTGCACAGTAGACTTTAAAAGGGTTAGAGAAAGGGGGGCTGCAATCTAAGTGAACTGTAACCTAAGAGCTGAAGGCAGCTGGCAGATTCTTGAGTCACCACTGTTCAAGTTGCCCCCTTCATCCCGCAAAACTGCCTGGGAAGGGTTGCCCCAGTTCATCTGTTCCTGTGAGCTAAATATGGCCCTGCTCCTTTTTTCTGTACTGCCAAATTCCTTATCACTATTTTATCCTACCATCTCTCCTGGCCCTTCCCGACTGTGTCAATCCTGTCTTTAAAAACACTACACACAAAGCCCCGACATAC